CCCAAAGTGCTGAAACTACTGGCATGAGCCACTGCACTCGGCTGCTATTTTCACTATTACAAACAATGCCATGATAAATAAATGTCTAAATCAATTGTATCATGTTCTGGCAATATAACTGATATCTAGTTATCTGAAATAACATATGTAGCCTAAAAATACTGCCCATAGCCATATACTAGAAGAGGAGACACCAAAATAATTCTGAAGTTTAAAAGACCAGATTTATCTTCATGTTGATAAACTGGAGTCAATTTATAAATTAATATAAAGTAGTTCCAGCAGGGGAATAACCCATAAATGAATCAAGTTTTCCTAAATGAGAAATAATTTTTTTTTTAATTTTGTATTTTTAATTCCTTTATTCAGCCAGTATTTATTCAGTGTCAGCAAAGCACCAGGCAGTGTTTCACAGCTAGGAATTCAGCAGTAAGACAGATAAGATCCCTGGCTCCTTGCAGCTTATGATCTCATAGGGGAGACAGACTATAAATAAATAATATAATTTCAAATAGTAAAAGAAGAAAGTCAAAGGAGGAAGAAACCGGTGTAATCATTAGTGAGGTGGGTAGTGACATTTGGATACCAGTGGCTTCCTACAGTATTACCCTTAGGATAAAATCCAAGTTCCTTTACCTGGCCTATTAGTGTCCTTCAGGAACCAAGGACTCTTGTTCTCCAGCCAAACTTACTCTCTTCATGGCCCTATCCTTTGCCCCATATCCCCATCCCCACTCCTATGAACTTGCTCTCTTACCTTAGGATCTTACATAGTTCTCTCCCCCTCCTTGCAGAACATCCTTCTATATTACCCCCAATCCCCAAAACACATACATACTACCACTTTGATTCACTTGGCTTTTAATCTTTCTTCAGTTTCAGGAAAGCTGTCCTGGATTCCCTTAAAATTGGTCAGATGCCATTGCTATGTTCTCCATAATACCATGCACTTCCCTCATCATGGTATTATCTTTCCACCACACTGCCTTGCAGACTTCCTGTTTATATTCTGTCTGTTAGGCTGTAAGCTTGGCAAGATCAGGAAACAAAATGTTCTCATTCCCTATTAACCCTCCCCCACCACATGCATTCAAGTGCATAATACGGTTCCTAGCAGAGCAGCACACAAACACATATTTGCTGAATAATCAATAATCACTGAACAATAATCTAGTCTGTTCATAAGACACTGGACTTGTGATACTCTCAAACCAGAACACAGCTAAGGTGATTGTTCCTTAGCATCTACAAAATGCCACTGAGTTACATAAACCAACTAAGATTATCATTCATTCATTCATATTAGATATTTAGGGATATGTTGACAAGTCACAAGGGTTCCCAGTCAGGCGTTTCAGGTCTAGTAAATGAGCCACTTCTACAGAGCAGAAAAGGCAGTGTGACAGAGGTGAGCACAATAGGCCACAGAAAGCCAGAGGGGCATCTCATTAGCCTGCGGAAGGGGGCAAGGAAACATCAGGGAAAACATCTAGTAAAACAAAATCTGGGGCAATGCTTAAGTTGTGCTGCATTTATTTACTCAGTATTTGGAGGGCACTAATTGTTTGTCTGCCATTATTCTAGACACTGGAGATACAGAACTGAATAAAACAAAGTCCCTAGTCTTATAGAGGTTACATTCAAGTAGAGACAGAGAACACACAAGGGAAAAAAATAGGCCAGGCATGGTAGCTCACACCTGTAATCCCAGCACTTTGGAAAGCTGAGGCGGGCGGATCACTTGAGGTTAGGAATTTGAGGTCAGCCTGGCCAACATGGCAAAACCCAGTCTCTGTTAAAAAATACAAAACTTAGCTGGGCGCAGTGGCTCACACCTGTAATCCCAGCTACTCAGGTGGCTGAGGTATGAGAATCACTTGAACCAGAGAGGTGGAAGTTGCAGTTGGCTAAGATTGCACCGCTGCACTCCAGCCTGGAAGACAGAGGAAGACTCTCTCAAAAAAAAAAAAAAAAAAAAAAAGGAAAAAAAAAAAAAAAAAAAAAAAAAAAAAAAAAAAAAAAGGAAAGAAAAAAAGAAAAAATATACAGAAATATAATATGACTGATGAGGGTTAAGTTATACAAAGAAAAATAAAACAAGGTATGGGGGATAGAGACTAAGAAAGGTGGGAGGGTACTGTTTTCCATAAGGCAATAAGTCAGGAAAGATGAAAGACCTCACTGATAAGGTGACATTTCAGAAATCTGAAAATAGCAGGTCATGTAGATTCATGGGAGAAGAGTAGTTAAGGCAAAGAGTAGCCAGTCCAAAGGCCTTGGGGTAGGACAGCACATCTGAGGAACAGCAAGAGCGCCCATGGGGCTAGAAGAGAATGAGAATGGGAGAGAAGAGATGAGATCAGAGAGGTACCTGCCAGATTATGTAGGATGTAGGGCCTGGAGGGCAAAACTACTATCAGCCCAAGGGGGACTTGCGTGTGGTTTAGTAAAAGAGGTCCCTTTCTCTGGGCAGACTTGGCAAGAGGAGCAACACTGGACTGTGGCCTCTACTTGTTCCAGTGCTGGAGCAACAGTCTCACTTGTAGGAATTTAGGCTTTCCTCTGAGTGAGATGCAAAGCCCTTCAAGGCCTGTGTGCAGAAAAATAACAGCTGACTCACATTTTAAAGAATTGTTCTTGTTGCTCTGTGGAAAACATTATAGGATGCAAGGGTGAAAGCTGGAAGTACTGTTAGGAGGCTGTTGCAATAATCAAGGCAAAAGATGATGGTGGCTTGAATCAGGGTGTAACAATGGAGGTAGTGGGAAAGGTTCTGCACATATTTTGAAAATAAAGCCAAGATGTGCCGAGGTAGATAAAACAGGGGATATAAAAGAGCAGTCAAGGATGACCATGAAGTTTTTGGCCTCAGTCGCTGGAGAAATGAAAACTGCCACATACAGATAGGAAGAGCAATTTCATGAGATTAAGAGTTTGGGGACTGTCCATTAGAGATGCTGAGTAGATAGCTGGATATGTGAATATGAAGCTGAGGTAAGTGGTCTGAGTGACAGATAAGTTTATGAGTCATTTGCATATGAGGATACTTTAAAAGTTATTAAACAATATGATAACCAAGAAAATGCTAACACAGCAGAGGCCCAAGGACTGGGCCTTGAGGATACTCCATGGTTAGAGGTCTGGCAGATCAAGAGGGGGCAGCAAAAGAGCCTGGAAAAGAACCTCCAGGGTGGTGGAAAAAGTGAAAGAGATGAAGTCAGGTAAAGAAAGGGTTTCACTTTGGGAGGCCGAGGCGGGTGGATCACGAGGTCAAGAGATCGAGACCATCCCGATCAACATGGTGAAACCCCGTCTCTACTAAAAATACAAAAAATTAGCTGGGCATGGTAGCGCGTGCCTGTAATCCCAGCTACTCAGGAGGCTGAGGCAGGAGAATTGCCTGAACCCAGGAGGCGGAGGTTGCAGTGAGCCGAGATCGCGCCATTGCACTCCAGCCTGGGTNAAAAAAAAAAAAAGAAAGAAAGAAAAGAAAAGAAGGGTTTCAAAGGGAGATGGATGAGCAACTGTGTCAAATGCCGCTGTCAGATCAAATAAGATGAAATGACCATTGAATTTAGTAACATGGAGGTCATCAGTGACCATCACAAGAGCTATCCCATCAGAATGGTGGGGACAGAAGCCTGACAGGAGTGTGTTCAGACAATGGAAGGGGAAGACTGGAGACAATGCGTGCAAACAGCGCTAGGAAATTTTGTTGTAAAGTTAAAGACTAGTTGGCAGACTATGGGATGAAAAATGTTCCAAGAAGAAACGATTGGATTCTTCAGAAATGCCAAAACAGGGGAGAGCAAAAGTCAGGAAACTAAATTAGCTCGATTTACTGAAATGTAATGTGTTAAGCAGATTAGGTTGTAAGGAAGGCAGAGGCTGAAGGTCATTCTAAGAAATTTGTATTGTATCCTGAAGGTGAGATACTTTAAGTAGAATAAGAACACACCCACTTTTACTTTTTAGAATGAGTATTTGGAGCCAATAGTCAAGGTGGGTTAGAAAGGAGGAAAGACTGGAGAGAGGAGTTAGACACTGAACCCCTACAAGGGAAAATTAAGGTCTGAATTTGGGGATGGGGTCGCAGGCGGCAAAGGATGAAGAAATAAATACAGAAGATATTAAGAGGGTACATTAGAAAGGACTCTGGTTCGTAGAGTGCAGAAAGGACAGGGGCAACTTGCTTCTAACTGGCCTCCTTGCCGGAAAAGCACCCCATCCATACTCCAAAAACTTCCTCTCAGATCCAACACTTCCAATGCCCAAAATTGAAAATTCTACAACTAAATAACCATTCTGCAAGTTTCTTTTCCGTACGGCTTCATATGAAAATCTGAAAACTCCTGAGATTTTCAACATATTAAAGCGTGTCACACTAAGGAGTGGCACACCAGACCCAGACTCTTCTCTGGGCTGGGGCTGGGAGAGGCTTGGCGGTTGAAAGCAGGGAGGGGCTACAGGCAAGAAAGGGCTGAACACCCGCTTCCGAAGATTTCACCTATTTTTCCGTTTGCCTGGAGCAGGTCACGCAGATTCCTTTCCCTTGGAAGCCCAGGGAGCGTCTGGTAGATCACTGATTCTGTACCCCTCATCGTTTCTACAAGTGGGTGACGGACACCTTTCGTGCCCCGCACTCTTTGCCCGCCCCTTAACCTTTCCTCCTAGTCACTTCCGGCCCATTCCCACACTCGGGAATCGTTATTCCGGTTCATCCTCCCTCCGGTCCTCACCTGAATCCCTTTCTCCAAACACCAACTCCAGTGCTTAGAGATAGTAACTAGGGAATCTGGGAGGTGGAAGTGCATCTTGGGACTAGTAGTCCAAGGTAGAAGAAGGCAGTGGAAAACTACAATTCCCAGAACACACTTCCATTTCCTCTCTCTTCCCCAATGAGGGCCCCCTCTCGACCCACCTCCTTTTAAAGACTCTCTTAGCCAAGTTGACTGTGCGGGAAAAGCCTTTTTAAAACATATTTTACTTTGTTTAAACCTACCATTTCGGGAGCATTCCGAACGCTAAAGTGAGAAATAAGCCCAGGCTAGGGAGAGGAGAAACAAGGTTTACGATCCAGTCTGGCACCGGGTTGGACAGTCGCTGAGACGGCAGTCGGGCATATGGTGTGGTCGCCTAAAGGGTGGGTCCTTCGGCGGGGGCGCTGGGAAACCCCGTGGGCCTGCGCGGCGTTCTTCCTTTTCGATCCGCCATCTGCGGTGAGTGTCTGCTGTTCGCATGCTCTCGGGCCGGCGCCGTTTGCCTCGTACATTTGTGTTCTCTGACCTAACCCGTCTCTTCCTTTTCCTCAGCCTCGGGTGGGGCCGCCACCAAAATGCAGATTTTCGTGAAAACCCTTACGGGGAAGACCATCACCCTCGAGGTACGGGCCAGGTGGTCCTGAGGAAGCTTAAGGTTCAAATAAGGTCCTGAGGTGGATTTTGGCACTGGCGCTGCTTTCCAAGCCTTAGACCATGATTCCGAACGAATTTGGGTTCTGAAATGTAAGCCCTGAAATGAGGATCTTTTGCTGAGCAAAGGTCTAGAGCTGATTTTTGGTGACCAGAGGCTGGGCCTCTCGCTCCTCGAGGGGTTTGGGCCAGTAGCTAACTAGCTAAAAGCGGAGGAGCTGCGCCTGCCAGGAGCGAGCACGTGTGGCCTTGCAGCCCCCGCCCGCCCTGGGCTGGGGAGATGAGGGTGCTCTCCGGGGCAGACTTGGGAGGTTGCCCACTGGATAGGTAATCAGCTCCCTTGAGTAGCTTTCAGCCCTGCCGTCGGTTCGGTTCAGTGGTAATTACCAACTTGAATTAAACGAGTTCTGCTGTAGTTGCTTAATGTGTAACCAACTTACTTTCATTTTAACACTTACAGGTTGAACCCTCGGATACGATAGAAAATGTAAAGGCCAAGATCCAGGATAAGGAAGGTAAGTAATATTTTGTGGTTAAGAAAAATTAACCTATGAAGACGTTAAGCTACCTGCTAGGCATGTCTGCTCTTGGTGAAGGGGGAAGGGGTCAGATTGACAAAGTGTAATACTTGTGAAATAACACAACAAACAGATGTTCATGATCCGGGAGCAGTACCTAGATTGGAATCCTTGAGGTGTATCTCACTTGCGTGAATTCGGACACTTTTATTTTGGGTGTGAGGGGGAGTCTGCTTTGTCGTCCAGGCTGGAGTGCAGTGGCGCGTCTCAGCTCGCTGCAACTTCAGGCTCCCGAGTAGCAGGGTTTACAGGCGTGCACCAACACGCCCGGTTAATTTTTTGTGTTTTTAGTAGAGACTGGGTTTCACCATGTTGACCAGGCTGTTCTCAAACTCCGGGCCTCAAGTGATCTGCTCACCTCGGCCTCCCAAAGTGCTGGGATTACAGGCCTGAGGCATGGCGCCCAGCCAAGTATTGGCATTAAGATTAAATGCAGTAAAATGTAACGTGTAAAGATTGAGAACTATGTCCTGTAGTAAGGGCTTATTATCAGCCGTTATTATTCATGTATTTGATTAAGGGATGTTACCTTATAAATCTGGAGCACATCAGGCTTGGTGTGCTGTGACTTAATTTTTGTTGTTTTTTTTCTCATTAGGAATTCCTCCTGATCAGCAAAGACTGATCTTTGCTGGCAAGCAACTGGAAGATGGACGTACTTTGTCTGACTACAACATTCAGAAGGTCTGTCTGGGGGAAGGAGCAGCCTCTTAAAATCTTATTTTGGAAATATTTCATTCTACTGTTTTTGAGACTGGCTCTGGCTCTGTCACCCAGGTTGGAGTCAGTGGTGCAGTCACTGCAACCTTCACCTTTCAGGCTCAGGTGATCCTCCCACCTCAGCCTCCTATAATTGGGGCTAATGGCACATGCCTCCACGCATGCCTAGGCTGGTCTCAGACTCCTGGGCTAAAGTGATCTTCACACCGTGGCCTCCCAGTGCTGGGATTACAGACGTGAGCCACTGCCTGCATTGTTTTCTGGACATTTTGACACAAGTGGGGAGAATGGGATTAGATTAGCAATAGATTTTTTTTTAGGTGACTCCTGTACTGATACTTGAAGCACTGCCATAGTTTCTCACATGTATTTTGCAAGTTGCATCCCATGGTGTAAGTCAATTCATTCTTTAATCTCCCTGTGAACAGTTAAGAATCAGATACTTTATTGGGATAGAGGTGGCAAGATTCGATGCATGATGTTGGTGTGCCCATTCTTAGTGCAATCATGAAAGCTTGCTCCATTCTCTCTCCCATTAACAGGAGTCTACTCTTCATCTTGTGTTGAGACTTCGTGGTGGTGCTAAGAAAAGGAAGAAGAAGTCTTACACCACTCCCAAGAAGAATAAGCACAAGAGAAAGAAGGTCAAGCTGGCGGTTCTGAAATACTATAAGGTGAGCCAGTTAAAGAGATGGACAGAATGTCAGCAAAGTCTTGGTTTATTTGGAAAACTTAATCTTTATAGTAACTTGTCAATATTTTCTTGGACTTAAGCATCCAACATTATCCCACTTTTGTTTAAATGAAGTATTCTGGAAATGGGAAATTCACACTTTCTGGGGTTTTTGTTTGATATTTGAAATCGCTTATGTAATAGGGCTCGGAGTTTAAAGTCAGGTCTGGGTTCAGGTCTTACCTTTCTTGACCACTTGGAAAGCTGGCCTTTAATGTTCAAAAGTCCCAAGACTTCTGAATGTTTTCATTGTAGTAATAACTGGTGAGAATTTAGGGTGCTTTGGTTTATAAGCACTAAAACTACCAGTATTATATAGCTAAAAACTTAAATATTTTGAGTCAGTTAAATTAGACTTCAGAATGTGTTGTAAAATTATCTTAAAGCAAGTTTGTGTACTTTTCAGGTGGATGAGAATGGCAAAATTAGTCGCCTTCGTCGAGAGTGCCCTTCTGATGAATGTGGCGCTGGAGTGTTTATGGCAAGCCACTTTGACAGACATTATTGTGGCAAATGTTGTCTGACTTACTGCTTCAACAAACCAGAAGACAAATAACTGAGTTAATAAAAGACATGAACTAACATTTATTGTTGGATTATTGCAGTGCTTTAAAGAATGATTTTTAAGCACCAAATTGATGGTCACACCATTTCCTTTAGTAGTTCTGTCACTGTGTGAGTGTTGCTTCTGGGGATTATGTGACCCAGTGGTTCTGTATACCTGCCAGGTGCCAACTACTTGCAAAGGTCTGGATATTTTCAATTCATAACTTCTTAGGCTACCTATGCTTTGGCAGAAGTTTATTTAATGTAAGTTGTCTAAATAGAAGCCAGTTTGTATTTCTGTCCATTTCTTGACCTCAGCACAACAGACATTTAGGGCTAGGTAATTCTTTGTTGCGTGGTCTGTCATGTGATGAGTTCTCTTTTCCTGCACCCATTCAATGGCCAGTAGTGCCTATCTCCTGTTTTCCTCTGAGAATCAAGGTTTTTGTGGTAAGTGTTCTGTTAAAGGCTAAAGTTGCCAACTCAAAAATGCATACTGGCTGGGAGTGGTAGCTCATGCCTGTAATCCCAAAGCTTTGGGAGGATCACTTGCGTCAGGTCCAGGAGTTTAAGACCAGCCTGGGCACCATAGCAAGACCCCCATCATCTTCTGAGAAAAAAAATGTTAGCCAGGTGTAGTCCCACCTACTGGGGAGGCTGAGGTAAAAGAATCTCCTTGACCCCATGAGTTATAATGCACTGCACTTCAGCCTGGACAACAGCAAGGCCCTGGTTCAAAAAAAAAATGCATCCTGAGTCTCTGGGTGGTTTCAGTGGAAGGTTTGCTGTCTGTTGTACAACTCTTGGGAGAACCTTAATGTTGATTCAAGATGGATCCCTGTAATGGAATGATAACTTATTTGTACTGTTAACACTAAGAGACAGTTTGGTTTCAAGCAGGATTTGGGTAGCGTATCTTTGGAGCTCAATTCAGGGAGAGGTGGTTCACTTGATAACACTCTTAGTACGGCATACACTTTAATCAGTGATGTGTAAGTAAGTAATTGACAATTCCCTTTTACTATATTGCCAGTCTTTCCATTCAAGGATTTCTAGTGGGAGAAGTCCTTAAGTAAGATTTCCTATTTATGTAGCACTTTTGACAATTTGTTCCAGTGTATAAATACATGTAGAACAACTTAGATACGTTTTGGCGAGTAGTAGTGCATTTCTACCTTCAATAAAGCAACATGTTGAGTTATTTACATTTTTAATGTAACTTTAAAATCCTGGATCCCAAGAAGTCTTGGCTTGTCTGTACTTTTCTTCATAACAAACAATTATATCTCCTACTTTAAATTCTATATTTTCTTCATCTAAACTGAGACCACAATCCATTCCAGTTTTGACAATTGAAATGTCATCTTTATGGTGTTTCAGTGAGGTTAATAAGCCTTAAAAAAAATAATTTAAGGTTAGTATATTCAATAAATGACAAGTACCTACTAAACATTACATTGTATGGTGTTACCAGAAAATTACTCTGAAATTCTTAATTTTATGTTCCCCCCATGTTAAATGATGGGACTAAACACCAGGGGAACCCCCTCAAATATCTTAAATCTATTTCAAAGGTAGATGCCAACTTTTTTCTGAGGACAGGATGATACTCAGGACTTGAATGGGTAAAACCAACATAAACATCTCAGGCAAAGTGAGCCCATCAACTGTAGACAAGTTAGGAGTTACAGCAATAAGTGGCCCGAGCTGAGATGGGCATGAAAGATGAACAGATTTCAGACGATTATATGGTCAACAGATTTTGGTGACTGGATATACTATTATAGAAGGAGATTTTGATGTTGCTTACCCTTCCAAATTACATGTCCATTACGGATTAATTTAAAATTTTTTTGTTTTTCTAACTGTCCTTTTTGGACTCTGCAGCCAGCCACAGGAACTTTTTTCTTCCCTTCTGTTACAGAGAAAATAGCTAGTATAGACGCCTCACCTTTAGGAATAAGAAAACATTAATGTGCAGAAAACTAAAGAGTCTGAGAAATGTGCAATTTCTGACATTCTGTAGTATAAAGATAAAAGGTATGACCAAAATCCAAATTCATGCATAGAAAAAAAGTCGAGGTTTCTTTAACTCCAACTTTATTTTCCTCACCAATATTAAGAATACAAAGGCATGAAACTCTTCAGCTATACTTTTTTTTTTTTTTTTTTCCTGAGATGGAGTCTCACTGTCATCCAGGCTGGAGTGAGTGGCACAATCAGCTCTGTACTATCAAGCTCCTGGACTCAAGCAAGCCTCCTTGATAGCTAAGACTATAGGCGTATGCCACCATGCCCAACTAATTTTTTTTAGCTTTTTTGTTTTGGAGGCTGGTCTTGAATTCTTGGCCTCAAGCGGTGCTCCTACCTCAGCCTCCAGAAGTGCTGAGATGACACACATGAGCCACTGTGCCTGGCCTCATTGTTTTTCATCTTGCCATAAGTAATTTATATCTACTTAGGAGTACTAATTTTGAGTCTGGTTTTCTGCCCCCTCGCCCCCCTCAGATGGAGTTTCCTTGTTGCCCAGGCTGGAGTGCAATGGCGCCATCTCAGCTCACTGTAACCTCATCTCCCGGGTTCAAGCGATTCTCCTGCCTCAGCCTCCTGAGTAGCTGGGATTACAGGCATGCACCACCATGCCTGGCTAATTTTGTATTTTTAGTGGAGACAAGGTTTTTCCATGTTGGATAGGCTGGTCTCAAACTCTCAACCTCAGGTGATCCCTCTACCTTGGCCTCCCAAAGTGCTGAGATTACAGGTGTGAGCCACCGTGCCCGGCTGAGTCTGTTTTTTTCACTGACTAAAAATTAAAACAAATTCCAATAATGAAGTAACACACACTAAAATGAACCAGATTTCTAGGGTGCCATTTGTTAGTGTTATCTGACTGGTGTGTTTGCTTAATCCTAGAAGCCCACATATGACTCGGTTTTCCAAATTGGTTTTAGCACAAGAACATAAAAATGTCTGTACAATCATGTTGAGCAGGTCAGAAAAACCTAAAATAGTCTGTCACTTAGGCCAAAAATGCAAAATCAAATCTCATAGGAAAACACTGGACAAATCCAAATTAAGGTACATTCTATAAAATAGCTGGCCAATAATGCTTCAAAATGTCAAGGTCAAAAAAGAAAAAAATTGGCCAGGTACGGTGGCTCACACCTGTAATCCCAGCAGTTTGAGGGGCCAAGGCAGGCAGATCATGAGGTCAGGAGTCTGAGGCCATCCTGGCCAACATGGTGAAACCCTGTGTCTACTAAAAATGCAAACAAAAAAAATAGCTGGGCATGGTGGCACATGTCTGTAATCCCAGCTAATCAGGAAGCTAAGGCAGGAGAATGGCTTGAACCCAGGAGGCAGAGGTTGCAGTGAGTCGAGATTGCACCACTGCACTCCAGCCTGGTGACAGAGTAGACTCTAGCTCAAAGAGAAAAACTGAAGAACTGTTCCAGATTAAATGGAACTAGAGAGAGATGACAACATGGATATATTATAATCCATGAACCTATACTAGGGGAAAAAAGTATATTGTTGGGACAATGGACAAAATGTGAATATGGACTGTATATTAGATAATAGCATTGTATAAATAAATGTTGAATTTCCTGAGTTTGATTAGTTCTATGGTTTTATAAGATAGTATCCTTTCCATATTTAGAGGAAAATGGGCACAATATCTCAAACATTCTCAAATGGTCCAGGCAAAAAAAAATCGTGTGTATATAGAGCAGGTCAAAAATGAGGCTAATAGGACAAAATGTAAACAACTGGTAAAAGATACACAGGAGTTCCTTGTTATTTCTCTTGCAATTTTTTCTGGAAATTAAAAACTGTTATTGGGCCAGGCACAGTGGCTCACACCTATAATCCCAGCACTTTGGGAGGCTGAGGTGGGCAGATCACCCAAGGTCAGGAGTTCAAGACCAGCCTGGCCAACATGGTGAAACATTGTTTCTACTAAAAATACAAAAATTAGCCAGGTGTGGTGGTTGGCGCCTGTAATTCCAGCTATTTTGGGAGGCCGAGGCAGGAGAATCGCTTGAACCCAGGAGGCGGAGGCTGCAGTGAGTCGAGATTGTGCCATTGCTCTCCAGCCTGGCCAACAAGAGCAAAACTCCGTCTTAAAAGAAAAAAAAAACAAAACTATTATTAAAATTAAAAGTTAACAACAAAAATATCTTCATGGGGAGGAAAAAAGAACAGATAAGGTGACTTAACCAATAAACTCAGTCTTTGGCCACAATATGCTAAAAACAATATATATTTTTTGTTTTGTTTTGTTTTGTTTTTAGAGATAGGGTTTCGCCATGTTGACCAGGATGGTCTCGATCTCTTGACCTGGTGATCCACCCGCCTGGGCCTCCCAAAGTGCTGGTATTATGGGCATAAGCCACCGCGCCCGGCCAAAAACAATATTTTTAAATATTATATATGTATTTTTCTTTTTTTTGAGATGGAGTCTCGCTCTGTCACCCAGGCTGGAGTGCAGTGGCATGACCTTCACATCCCAGCTTCTAGCAAATCTCCTGCCTCAGCCTCCTGAGCAGCTGGGATTACAGGAGCGTGCCACCACGCCTGGCTAATTTTTGTATTTTTAGTAGATGGGGTTTCACTATGTTGGTCAGGCTGGTCTCAAACTCCTGACCTGGTGATCCATCTGCCTCGGCCTCCCAAAGTGCTAGGATTACAAGCATGAGCCACCACACCCAGCTGTATTTAATATTTAAATGTAAATTTTCCTCTTATGGTAGACTTCTCTGCTAGCCCCACGACAAAGTCAACAGCTCTTTCCATGACATTGTTCATAATCTTTATGCCTTCCATCGTAACGTAATCTGTATTATAATTATTTGTTCATATCTAAACTTGAGGGCAAGTTCTTAATTCCTTACTTGCCTTTGTATCCTCAAAGCATAGGCACAATGTGTTACACACGGCAGGTGTTTATGTAAGAAGTTACAGTGGATTCTCATGGCAGTCATTTTTTTCTAGAACACAGGATATACCTTTCAACATTGAAAACAGTTCCTCTAAACTTTGCTTTCAAGTGCTATTTATAGCACCTAAGATACTAATTTTTAAAAGTAACATTCAGTGATCACTCACCTACTGGGTGCTCTTCCACAGCACGGGGTAATCTGTTGCTCAGTTCTTCTTGCAAATCTTCAACAAGATGGTAAATTATTTTGTGAAGTTTAATTTTTACTCCTTTTTTTGCAGCGGACTGTTGGATAACATTGCCCGCATTCACATTAAAGCCATATATAACACCTAGCAAAGAGAAATATGATCAATGAAATAGCATAAAGATTATAATCATTTATTTGTCTTTCAAGCAGAAACTTGAATCTAAATTGTTTTATTTTCTAAATTAAACTAAAATAGCAATTAGAGGCCAGGCACAGTGGCTCACGCCTGTAATCCCAGCCCTTTGGGAGGCCGAGGTGGGTGGATCATCTGAGGTCAGGAGTTCGAGACCAGCCTGGCCAATGTGGTGAAACCTGTCTCTACTAACAATACAAAACTAGCCAGGTGTGGTGGTGGGCGCCTGTAATTCCAGCTACTTGGGAGGCTGAGGCAGGAGAATCACTTGAACCTGGGAGGCTGAGGTTCCAGTGAGCCAAGATGGCGCCATTGCACTCCAGCCTGGACAAAAAGAGCAAAACCCCATCAAAAAAAAAAAAAAAAAAAAAAGCAATTAGAGGAGATAAGGTCTATGATATTTTTCTCACCAAAACTAGTAAATCTTCCAACTGATGAAAGAATTTTATAAATTGTATTGTGGCTTGTTTAACAAAGAAAATTTCTTTGTAATTTTAAGGAACAGTAAGTAATAAGAAACGTGTAAGACAGAATACTAACAAAATTTGATTTTTATACCAGACAAGAACACCAAAAATGACCAGGGCTGAAATATGCTTCATTCTAATAATAATTACATTATTAAATCATGATCTTTTTGTCTACCATTATTGTGGTTTGTACTCAAGGTATTCAGATGGCCAAAAGATGCTAAAAATTGTGACTTACAGGGGTGGAGGGAAAGATAGTGACTTAATTGGAAGGTCAGGAGTTTGAGACCAGCCTGGCTAACGTGATGAAACACCGTCTCTATTAAAAATACAAAAGTTAGCCAGGTGTGGTGGCAGATGCCTGTAATCCCAGCTACTGGGGAGGCTGGGGCAGGAGAATTACTTGAACCTGGGAAGCATAGGTGGCAGTGAGCCAAAATCACACCATTGCACTCCAGCCTGGGTGACAAAAGAAAAATTCCATCTCAAGAAAAAAAAGAAGTCATTCAATTTGCCGGATACAGTGGCTCATGCCTATACTCCAAGTACTTTGGGAGGCCAAGGCAGATGGACCACCTAGGTCAGGAGTTCAAGACCTGCCTGGCCAACATAGTGAAACCCTGTCTCTACCAATAAAAAATTAGCCAGGCATGGTGGCGCACACCTGTAATCCCACCAGCTACTTCGTGGAGACTGAGGCAGCAGAATCCCTTGAACCTGAGAGGCAGAGGTTGCAGTGAGCTGAGATCATGCCACTGCACTCCAGCCTGGGTGACAGAGTGAGTCTCTGTCTCAAAAAAAGAAAAAGTCATTCAATACACAGTCTACATTACAGCACAGTGCTAGGCCAGTCAGTGCCTACCAAATACTTTTAATTAATCAGTTAGATGTCACCTCTATCCTTTTCAGTACTAGAGGTGACATTTAACTCTAATCAAGTCAGGTTTCAAAGAATATCTTTCCTAATGGATTCACAGTCACTCAACAATGTTGTTGTTTTACTAGGTGTTCGACCATTTAACAGTCATGAGTCCCCCTTTTCGTGTATCATAAGTTCAACTAATAAAGACAGTTCCTTGCCTTCTAGGCCTGTAAAGCTAAAAGGACCTTTTGCTCTAAAAAGATATGACGTTTGAAGTTATCAATTACTAAAGATAGGTAGCCAAAAGTAAAAGATGAAGGAAAGAACCAAATAGGCTGATTACAGTGTTAGAAACATTCAGAAGTCTAATGAAAGACAGGAGAATCAACCTTGGGATGGTAAAGAACTAGGAGTAGGGAAAGGGGGCAGTAATGGTACCTTAAAAAAACAAAAGATACAGAAACAAACAAACAAACAAAAAAGAGAAACATGACCAGGTCTTGAAATAGTTCCCCAAAATTGCAATACAACCACAACAAATGGAGCTATGGCCACAATACTGCACATCCTATTCGTTTCAACTGCTAGCTGGGACTGGACTATAGCAGGAAGGGTGATGCTGATGGGAATAAATGTCAGGTGTGACAAGCCAAGCAACACAGAAGCAGATGGTTCAGTGTTATTTGGAGAACAGAGATTAACAAGAAGAAATGGAATCCTTACCACAAAATGTTTCAGCAAGGTTAACATCATTTGCAGTTATATCGCCCACTCCAAAATGTATTAATTCTAGTTCACATTCATGTGAAGCATCATAGGTATCTATGATGTTCAAAATGGCCTCAACAGAACCATCAACATCACCTAAATACAGAAAAAGTTTACAATTGTTGGGTCTTAAGAATTAGACATCAGCAGACATAAAAAAATGACAATAATCTATTTAAAGCATGATAGGAATGTCATTTACCACTAAATCCACTTTTATTTAGGCTTAGCATTACAAATACTTACTTAATAGCATATTATCAGCCAAACATACATTTACAACAAAATCAGCAAGAAATATGTTGACTAAGAAAATCTCTTCTAAAATATTGAAATAATTTTCATGTAAATGTAAAGGTCCAAACTAATCATGAGAATTAAAAAAACATATTCAAAGAATGAACTGTAAAGTAAAATCTTTAAAAAGATACCTTTAATAATCACAGGAAGTACATTTGAATCTCTCTCCATTTTCTCTTTTGGCCTTAAGAATGTTTGTCCTTTTCCTTCTAAATACTTTAGATATGATCTCTCCTTCCACTGCACGTTGCCATACTTCTCACGGGCTTTCCAATGTGCTTCTTGGTGTTCCTTTCGCTTTTCTTCTATTATTTTCATATCCTCTTGACTTTTCTCCTGTTGTTGTTCATACTTCCTCCAGTCAACAACTTCACGTGCCCTTTGCTTTATAGGGGAAAAACGCATTATTTAATGAAATAGATCCCGGTAACTGCTAGATTAAAGCCTTTATGTTTTCCCCCATTAGGAAATTAGCTTAACTCATGTAAGAAATGACTACTTTTATAAGTTTTAAGAAACATGTAAAATTTTGAGAGCTTTGAAATGATTTAAAAAATCTTATTCCCCACCAAAATTCTACAGTCTAAGGCTAACATAGCACAACTTGCCCCCTCACAGCCCCTTATAATCTAAATTATTTGTTAACATTAATATACATATTTGGTATAACACTGTAAATTGACATTTAAAATCATTATATTATATCTAATATATAGGAATTAAGCTTGATATACCTCAGATTCGACTTCAAGAATTTCTTCTCCTGCAGAAGGAAGGTTTCTCCAGCCTATAATTCCCACTGGCATGCTGGGATAGGCCTCATCGATTGTTTTTCCATTTTCATCAAACATTAAGCGAACTTTTGCCCAACTTTTTCCAGCAACCAGAACAGAGCCTTTTCTTAAAGTTCCTCTTTGAATTATAGCTGTAGTAACAGGACTAAATCAAAATAAAAGTATATTTTAATGTCATAATCAGGATGTAATTGTATTTTGAGTAGAGCAAAGATATCTTTATGAAGTTTAAATTATATAAACGTGTGTACACAAGGTTAATTCTACCACTTCTCAACTTCTTAAGCAGTTTTTCATACTATAAAAACATTTCAAAGCTGGGTGCATTGGCATACCCGCAATCCCAGCTATTCAGCAGGCTAAGGCAAGAGAATCCCTTGAGCCCATGAATTCAAAGTCAGCCTATCAAGACCTTTTTTAAAAAATTGTATTTGCAATACCAAGAAGTAGAAGCAACCCAAACGTCCATCAAGACACATGGACATTTCTTCCAAAGAAAATGTGGATTTTACATACAAAGGAATATTATAGAGTCTTTAAAAAGAAGGAAATTGGCAGGTGTGATGCCTCATGCCTGTAATCCCAGCACTGTGGGAAGCTGAGGCAGGTGGATTACCTGAGGTCAGGAGTTCGAGACCAGCCTGGCCAACATGGCAAAACCCCATCTCTACTAGAAATCCAAAAAGCAGCCAGGTGTGCTGGCATGTGCCTATAGTCCCAGCAACTCAGGAGGCTGAGGCAGGAGAATTGCTTGAACTCGGGAGGCAGAGGTTGCAGTGAGCCGAGATCGCACCACTGCACTCCAGCCTGGGTTACAGAGGGAGACTCAATCTCAGAAAAAATAAAATAAAAAATAATTTTTTTAAAAAAGAAATCCTATCACAGGCTACAGCATGAATGTAACTCTAGAACATTATGCAAAATGAAACAAGCCAGTTATCAAAGGATACATATTGCACAATTCCACTCATATGAAGTATGTAAAGTATTCACAAATTAAAAACAGAAAACAGGGCCAGGCATGGTGGCTCACACCTGTAATCCTAGCATTTTGGGAGGCCAAGGTGGGTGGATCACAGAGGTCAGGAGTCTGATACTGTCCTGACCAACATGGCAAAACCCCATCTCCACTAAAAATACAAAAATTAGCCAGGCATGGTGGCAGGTGCCTGTAATCCCAGCTACTTGTGAGGCTGAGACAAGAGAATCGCTTGAACCCAGGGGGATGGAGGCTGCAGTGAGCCAAGATGGAGGCCACTTCACTCCAGCCTCGGCAAAAAAGTGAAACTCCGTCTCAAAAACAACAACAACAACAACAGAAAACAGGAAGGTATTGCCAAGGGCTTGGGACAGGGACAAGGAGATATTAGTGTTTAAGAGGTATAGAGTTTCAGTTTTACAAGATAAAATAGTTCAACAGATCTTTTGCACAACAATGTGAATAAACTTAATACTGAACTGTATATTTAAATATGGTTAACATAACAAAATTAATGTTAGGTGTTTCTTACCACAATTTTTTAAAAACCATTTCTTATAAGGTTATAAGAGAAGAAGCAGGGAGCAAAGTGTTCTGACAGAATCTTAACCCACTTTCTATGCCAGTGTCCATCTACTAGGGAATTACTCACAGTTGTTAGAGAGTATAAAGCAATGAGAAAACCTCTTTTGCAGCTACATAGGAAAATTCAAGAACACCACTTCAAAGACCTTTCTGCATACTGTATTAATGGGCAAGGTCATAAAGAATTTACAAACCCTAAAACGCAACTATTGGTGTTTCATTCTAATTTACGTTATCTATAAGACTTTACCAATTCAGTCGAGTCAGTGGGGGGAAAAAAATCAAGCAAATTTAACTACTTATATCATCTAAATATGACTACTAGAGGTATACAGATAGTTGCTATGGTCTACTGATAATAACTGCATTTTTGTGTTCTTGTGTTAGTACAAACAATAATATACTTTTTAAAACAAATGCTTTGAAAATATTGTTCATGAATAATAACATGCAACAAAAATAATATATAATCAAGTCACAAAAACCATGAAACAAATTAAAAAGGCAAGCATTTTAAGAGTCCTACCCTCTTCCTTTGTCTGTGAAAGACTCTATTACTGTTCCTTCCACTGGACCAGTGGGATCTGCTTTCAGTTCTAACATTTCTGCAAGGGCAATTGTTGCTTCTGCCAAAGCCATCAGATTATCACCCTTTAACAATAACAAATGTTGTTAATACACATTAATAAATACTATCTGTAAATGAAATACTAAGGACCGGAAGTCACATAATCCATGCAAGTTATATTACACTTTTCCCTTTAAGCATTAAAAGCATGATTATCCAATTTAACAAAAAGAGGTAGGGAGGGAGGGGAAAATAAAAGAAAAAAGAGAATGGGAAGAATGGAAGGGAGGGAGGGACCAACAAGAAAACCTGGGCCACAGACAGATCTTGTACGGAACAAGTGGCTACTTTTTTTAAAGGATGGCCACTGGTGGTGCTTGTTACTAACCCTTTCATAAACACATGCTTCATTCATTTTCTTTCTTCTCCATCTGTCTCTACAATTGTGTTTGCTTCCTCTTGCTTTCTTTTTCTGTTTAAGTTCTATCCAACTGAACAAGATTTCACATCTATTATTTCATTTGATCCACTCAAGAATCCTATAAAGTAAATCAAGCATTACTTACCCTTATTAAATAAATGAGGAGAAAAAGTACTAACTAGAGATTCAGGCTCTAAGCTGTGCTTTGTAACTACCCAGCTGTGCGGCCTTAAAAAAAATCACCTCATTTCCCTGGATCTCCTTATCTCAACTGTAAAATGAAGAAGCTGAAGTAGGTGATTCTTTCATCTTTCATGGTCTGTGCTTACTATGTTCTCTAGGGCTCCAAGATCACACAGCTGATTAACTGGTGATGGAACTGGAATGGATAGGCAAGAAATTTTTCCACTCCTTGTATCAGCTAAGAGATTGCTCACAGTAGTTAACGAGTATAAAACAACAAACAAGGGCCAAACACTGTGGCTCATCCCTATAATCCCAGCACTTTGGGAGGCTGAGACGGGCAGATCACTTGAGGTTAGGAGTTCAAGACAGCCTGGCCAACATGGTGAAAGCCTGTCTCCACTGAAAATACAAAAAATTAGCTGGGTGTGGTGGTGACACATGTCTGTAGTCCCAGCTATTTGGGAGGCTGAGGCAGGAAAATTGCTTGAACCTGGAGGTGGAGGTGGCAGTGTGAGCCAAGATTGTACCACTGCACACCAGGCTGGGAGACAGAGCAAGACTTTGTTTCAAAAAACAGAAAATAAAACAAAAAACAACTAAAAAAAGAAAAAAAGAATTGACTAAATACTTTGCTTACCCACCCACTTATTCCTAGTATTTATTCCAGTTTACAAAATGCTGTTCGAAAAAGCAGAACTGGAGGTGTTTCCATGTATAAAGTAATCCTTTACATATCTTGGAAAAGAAGACCTCATCTTACCTCCCTGCTTCTCTCTTCCAATCTCCTCCATTCCCTTGGAATCCTCTCTGACATGCCTCCACATCTGCCTAAGCAGCTTTACATCTACCTGCTCATCTGATGTTATCTAGCCAGAAAAGGTGGTCAACCCTTCAGATATTTTATTTATTTATTTATTTAAGACAGTGTCTTGCTCTGTGCAGTGGCATCATCTCAACTCACTGTAACCTCCACCTCCATGGTTCAAGTGGTCCTCCAACCTCAGCCTCCCCAAAAGATAGGACTACAGGCACCTGCCACCAAGCCAGGCTAATTTTCGTGTTTTTGTAGAGAGGAGGTCTCACCATGTTGCTCAAGCTGGTCTTGAACTCCTGGGCTCAAGGAAGCCAACCACCTCAGCCTCCCAAAGTGCTAATATTATAAACATGAGTCACTGCACCTGGCAAACATTTTAATCTTATTGTAGTAAACTTAACATTTGGCATTCAGAGTGCAATAACAATGAGGTATAGTGCAGGAGATAACAAAGTAAGGTGCATTTTATACATTTCAGAGAAAATGATGCACAGTTTTACTATTTGGAGGCATAATTTCTAGGTATCCTGGAGGTAACACATTTAGGAAAAGTAAAGATAAAATGAGATTTAATTGGAGGAAGGTGGTAGAGTAACACACCATCCCTTCAGTGAATAATCAGGAGAAAGAAGAAAGGCTATTTATAAGTAAACTTTGTAACATGGCGGACAAAAAGGAAACAGTTACTTAGCAGCAACCTCTACAGGATAAGAGAACTGGAAAATGGTGATGTGAGGCAAGTAATGAGTTTCATTGGTGTTTATATTCAAGCAATAATAATTGGTAATTTTAAAGAAAATGAAATTGATTATAAATAACATTTTAAAACATACAGCAATTTAATCCACAGAAACATATAGTCAATCAATAACAAAATCAACCTAAACATTTAATCTTGGTATTCATAAAATTCTTGTTTAAATCTCTTAAATGCTGTAAGGCCTGTTTTCCACTTGTAAGAGGCATGAAATACAAGCACTTTTTGTTAACAACTGGATTTAATTTCTGCTTAAAAGTCTTTGGTGAGGCATGGTGGCTCACACTTATAATCCCAGTGCTTTGGGAGGCTGAGGTGGGATGATGACTTGAGGCCAGGTGTTCAAAACCAGCCAAAGCAACATAGTGAGACCCTATCTCTATAAAAAAAATTTTTAAATTAGCTAGGCATGGGGTGGCACCTGCCTGTAGCTCCAGCTACTCAAAACGCTGAGGTGGGAGGACAACTTAAGCTTTGGAGGTCAAGGCTGCAGTGAGCTGTGATCACATATCTTTATCCTACTATTTCCCTATCCCTACATCATACACCACTTATTCTCTTCCTAAGTATCTCCTAATAAAAAACGTATTCCATTAAGAGTTGACTCCACACTGATCAGCTGGTGACTGACCTCTCTGAGCCTAACTCCTAATATGCCAAACCAAGATAATACCATCTTTGCCTAGTACCCAGAAAACTTGTTGAAAACAACACAGATATGTACATCAAAATGTTCTTTAGATGTAATGTACTGTGTGCATTATGTACAGCATTCCCATCCAGGCGTATTCATATGAGGTCCCCATATTTACCGTAAGTGCAGAGACAGGCACTGCCTGAATATCACCTCCATAATCTTCACACACCACATCATAAGCCAGCAGTTCTTTTTTCACTTTCTCAGGATCAGCCTCAGCTTTGTCACATTTATTTATGGCAAGGACAATAGGAACTGAAAGAAACAGAGTTAAAAAGAGTGAAAATGATGACAGCTTCAATTCCAGGTATTCACAGTTAAAGATACCAACTTTCTCTTCTGGCTTTCTCTTTACTCAGAGGATGTTTTCATCTAACAAAAGGCCAAAAAGACCCATTTCAGAGTCACACCACCCTACTCTGCTCTCTACACGTAGAGAAATCCAAATGCAAGATATTAAAAGTATAAGTATAAGCAGATTCTGAATGAATAGCAGACACCTGAGATTATCAAAAAAATAATACAGTTGGGCTAGGTGTGGTAGCCCATGCTATAATCCTACCACTTTGGGAAGCTGTAATCCTACCACTTTGGGAAGCTGAGGCAGGTGGATCACCTGAGATTAGGAGTTTGAGACCAGCCTGGCCAACATGGAGAAACCCTATCTCTACTAAAAATACAAAAGTTAGCCAGGCATGGTGCACCTGTCATCCCAGCTACTTGTGAGGCTGAGGCAGGAGAATCGTTTGAACTGGGAAGGCAGAGGTTGCAGTGAGCCGACATCGCACCACTGCACTCCAGCCTGGGTGACAGAGCCAGATCTCAAAAAAAAACAAAAAACATACTGTCGTCCCTAGGTATACTAGTAGATTGGTTCCAGGACTCCCACCACTGCCTATACCAAAATCTCAGCATACTCAAGTCTTGCAGCCAGCCCTGCAGAACCGTGTGTACAAAAAGTCATGTAAGAAAGTTTCAAATTCTGTGAATACTGTATTTTTCATCTATGCTTGATTGAAAAACATGTGTGTGTTAAGTGGACCCACACAGTTCAAACCCGTGATGTCCAAGGGTCAACTGTATTTTGGGAAGAAAAAGGTCTATCTTTAAACCTAAAAGCAAGATCAGTAGGTACACCGGAGATAATCTGCAGAAAAAAAATCATAACAAGATTCTGATTCAATACTGCTAGATCATTTGCCTCTTCTTTCCAGGGTTTATTAACTCATTGTTAAAACCCAACATCTCATCCTAGGTTGAAACTAAATACCATCATCACAAATTTTCCTTTGGGATTTATATTATTTATTGATACACCTAGCTCAGTGATCAACACATAGTAGGTTCTCAATAAATGTTTACTTAATGAATGAACCGAATAATCTTTTAATCTACTTTTTATCACTAGACATATCCTCTCTTTAGAGAAATCACACAGAATTCTACGAGATAATTCTGTGGTTGCATTTCATCATCTCTGCAATTTTCTGAGGTATCAAAGGAACAGAAATTTTAAAAGATACAAACAAGTTTTACAATCCACAACCTACTATTATGAAAAAGTACATTCCGGCCAGGCACAGTGGCTCACACCTGTAATCTCACCACTTTGGGAGGCTGAAGTGGACGGATCGCCTGAGGTCAGGAGTTTGCAACCAGCCTGACCAATATGGAGAAACCCCAACTTTACTAAAATATAAAATTAGCCAGGTGTGGTGTTGCATGCCTGTAATTCCAGCTACTTAGGAGGTAGGGCAGGAGAATTGCTTGAACCGAGGAGGCAGAGACTGTAATGAGCTGAAATCACGCCACGGCACTCCAGCCTAGGTGACAAGAGAAAAACTCTGTCTCAAAAGAAAAGAAAAAGTACATTCCTTGCTGATGAGCTGGAACATAACAGGTACCAAGAGAAGAGGTGTACAAAGCCTGATATAATGAATTTATCCTATCTCAACCAATTGCTTTGTAATGGGATCCCTGGCAAATTTATCCCTGTCTTCCTGCCATGTATTCCCTAGAACCATTAAGTACACAGTACATCACACAAAGGCAGTTTTGAGGAATTAAAAAGGAAAGGAGAGTAACACTGGAAGCTAGCAGATTCAAATTCCAAATGCAGACATATTGAAAATTAGCTGTATAATTGTATATAATTAGGGAGAGTTCTGGCTGCTGTCTGAGTCTTAGCTTTCACGCTATAAAATGAAAGAAGTGGACTAGTTCAGTAATTCTCAATCTTTTTAAAATCTTGCCAGTAAATCTGCGGGGAATATGACATACTTCATTGCGTACATTTTCTCAGCAAGGGTAGGTGTATGGTCATTTCAGAATAAGAATGAATATACAGAAAGTGTAATTATATGTGTGGGTATTTATTACTACAACTTTTAAAAGAAAAATATGGGAGAAGATGGTTAACTGATTTTCCAAAAGTTTCAATTTTATACCTTTGATCAGGTAAGAACTTATTTAAAGCAAAAAAAGAGAAAGTTTCTCTTTAGAGAAGAATTCCAGATAATAAATAAACAGGAAATAACAATATAACCACTATGCAACTCCTAATGAATTTAGGTGATTGGTACACAGAATTTTATTATGCTCTTCTTACTTTTGAATCTGTTTAAAATTTCCATAATAAACAGTTGGAAAAAGAAAAAGGCAAGTACAGAAAAGATTGTACTTGTGGTCTGTACTATGGTCACAAGTCCCAAGCTGAATCCTGCTATACCCTTCCTATAAGTCAATGGGAAAACAATTAATCTTTGAGGCTTATCTGTAATACAGTTATAACTACTCTGGGACTGCAGTGAAGACTAAATAAGCTATATGTAAATGGCCCCAGAACTTTGACTATGTGGCAGATCCTTTAAAAAAAAAAAGCAACTTCCTTCCTGATCCATTAAGTCAGCCACACAGTACCTTGAGCATCTTTGGCATGCTGAATAGATTCCACAGTTTGTTTCATCACCCCGTCATCTGCAGCTACAACCAATATGACAATGTCAGTGACCTGAGCCCCTCTGGCTCTCATTGCTGAGAAAGCAGCATGTCCTGGAGTATCAAGAAAAGTTATCTTTTCCCCAGAAGGCAGAGACACTGTGGAAAGAGAAATTCAAGAACATCAAGGTCTCAAACATGTACTTCCTTAATACCAAGGAATATATGTGACATTATAAAAAACCATCAATTCTTTAAAATAATTTTATTCCTTCCATTAATCTTAATCTGAGCAACACAGATCATCATTTTACAATGAAAAGTGATAAAATACCAGTGAGACTTTTATGGGTTTTTTTTCCATGTAATAATTTCAAACTAAAGTCTCATATTTCCAGAACATGACTACTTTCATACATTACCAACTGATATATCTATTCTGCAGAGAAAGCAGACCAATTGTTATACAGACAGCCACCCTTACATTAGCAAATCAGAGCTGCACAACTCCCTGAGCCACAGAAAGGCAATTTAGTAAGCAGAAGCTCAGGATTTGAGACCAATGACCTTGGGTTTAAATCCTGGCTATGCTACTTACTGGCTACATACTGTGGGCAACTTACTTAACTCGAAGAAGTATCACCTTCTTTATTTGTAAATGTAACTATTAATACCTACCTTATGATGTTGTTGTCAAGATAAAAAAGACAAAACTTATAAGGTGCTCAGTACAATAGTGGACACAGGCTAGGTGCTCGAAAATGGAACTATTTTTTAATTATTATCAGTGACATTGTCGCAACCTAGCACGGGAGGGTATATAAATGTAATTAATTAATAAAAAATTTTAGGTTTATTAAATCAAACTAAGAATGAGCTAGAATTAAAAGTTAACACAATTTTCAGCCAGGCACAGTGGCTCACTCCTATAATCCTAGCACTTCAGGAGGCCGAGGTGGGTGGATCACTTGAGGTCGGGGATTCAACACCAGCCTGGCCAACATGGGAAAACCCCATCTCTCCTAAAAACACAAAAATAGGGCAGGTGTGGTGGCTCACACCTGTAATCCCAGCACTTTGAGGGGCTAAGGCGGGGGGATCACAAGGTCAGAAGTTTGAGTCAAGCCTGGCCAACATGGCGAAACCCTGTCTCAACTAAAAATACAAAAATTAACCAGGCAAGGTGGCTCATGCCTGTAGTCCCAGCTACTCGGGAGACTGAAGCAGGAGAATTGCTTGAACCCAGGAGGTGGAGGTTGCAGTGAGCCGAGATCGTGCCACTGCACTCCAGCCTGGGCAACAGGGCGAGACTCCACCTCAAAAAAAAAA